AAGAAAAAACTATGTATTTTAAATAGTTTACCTTCACCCTGAAATTTATACTTTTAAAAGTTTACAAAGCAGGTATGATGTCAAAGAGGTCCAATATGTATACAAATCGTAGTATTTTTTTTTCTGTTTCTGTTTTTGAATGTTGCATTGCTCTGGAGGAATAAGACCGAGTAGACCAGAGACTAAACCGAACATTATTGTGTGGACAATTCGTATAAATACGTACATTGCACGATTAATGGAATTTTAAATCTCCAATGAGAATGTGAGAGAGACAGAAAGAGAAAGAAAGAGAGAGAAAGAAAAATATGTTAAACAAAAAAAATAATAAACAATATTTTTATAAATAATTAGCTGTCCTGCAGGGCTTTGCCTGAGCACAGAAACTTAATGAAAATAAATGTTTAAAAATAAAACCGTGTCTCCCCGTAACTCAGCGTTTCCACCCCGTACACTATATATAGCGTATTGAAATACAGACTGTTCCATATGACTTATTGCCCTCCCTAATATTAGAACCCTACCCTGGAGGTTTATTTTTTAGTCCATAATCTTTTTTCAAAAAAACCGACTATCTAAATCAACAAATGTTTAAAACACACAAACTCTTCAGCTCTATATATTAGTATAGTATACGTGATAACGTTCAATTAGAATTCAATTTTCAATTTGAAAACGAATATATATATACCATACAGTCGAAATATGCAATCCATAACGCATACCCCTGTGGTCAGGTGAAATGACATATTCCAAGGATTGAAGAGAACTACAGTTTAAAAACAAATCAAAATAGTCTTGTTAGACTAGAGAAATTATACTATTTATCACTAATTATCACTAGAGAAACTTAGAGAATTATTAGTATTCCTGTGTGCTGTCGGTGTTCAAATTATCATTAATATAATACCGTGTTCTTCTTCCCGGCGTCACGCACCTCTATTAGGGTCTTCGACGTAGCCTTTCGTCCCACGCGGTTTCTCTGGTCAATTCACTATGCATCAATAATAATCCCGGGTCCCGTTTCATCCCGTCGTTTCTCCGGACGTCCTCTATGTTTCTCCTTTGCGACGATATACATAGTCATCACTTAACCGCCGCCTTTCGGTTCACCGATCCGGCCTCCTCGTCCCGCGTACAGATCATCGGGTTCTTTATCTCGTCTTCGCGAAATTTGTTTTCCTCGGCGCTCGTCTGTCATATCTCGGATCTCCGAGAATCGTTTGTCCTCCCGTACACCGTCGTCTCGACATTCGGTTTCCGTATACGCCGGTCCACAGATAATATCGTAACGTTTAATATCGTACATTATACGGCGCGCGTATCTAATATATAAAATCGCCAAACGCCTGATAAATAATCGATCCGTTGTATATTCATTCATATATATATATAGGGTATAGGTATAGGTAATAGATATTTTGTTTACGATGAATCGTGCGCAAACGATTTTCGTACCGGATAAATTACAAAACGATCCGTCTAAATTATTATTCATCGGTTGCGTAACACACCGCGTTATAATAATCACGGTGTAATATAATTATAATACGTCAAAACTAATTCCCCCTGTAATCCTCATCGCTACCGAATGAAAATGTTATGGCTGCGCGTACGCGCATATATAAACGCCGTCGTATTCAATTCCGACAGATTTTCTAACGTATCAACGCCGCGTATCGTAACAAACGGCAGTGACACTAAATCCCTCGCCAAGATTACATATTGATATGGTAAACGCATTATACATGGTATTATAACATAATGCACACCGAGACGATCGTGCGACGCGTATGGCGAGGAGAGATTAGCCGTAAGTGCACGCGGGGGGGGTCCAGGGCGAATCGTCCGGGCCGAATTATTTACGGGAGAAATTAATTTCGAAAGAATTTCGAAAATTCGCTCGGCGAAACGAACATGTTTTATTATTATTATTATTATTATTATTATTATTATTACTATTATTATTATTTCGTATTAACATACAAAGACCCTTGGGGCGACATGGGCCGCATTGGGGGTGTATAGCGAAAGTTACGCGATACGTAAATTACGCAAAAGTAGTCGACAAAGATGTAGCGAACAAAAGGAAGTAATACGATTGTTACACATTGCAATAATTACAATCGAGACGATTGCAGAGAAACAAGACCGAACAGCGTACTACGGTTATGTCTTGTCGCGGTAACAACGAAGGCGATGGGCCTGTATCCGTATCGCAAGTCCACCCAATCCGTTGTCAATGTGAAAATGCGCTTGGCGGCGATGGAGGACGCCTCAGAAAGGGCACATCGGAAAACGGATATTGTTCGGCGAGAATACGATCACGATATGGGACACAACGATATTCGTTTTCACACATCATTATGGCATTTTTGAGAGGATTATTTTACCTTTATTATTTACAAACGATGTTTTATTATTATTTTTTTTTTTTTTTTTGCGTTATAACGCGACGTTATTTTGAAATGTATCTGTCGTTGCGTCTATAGATGAGATAATAACAATAAATATAGGTATCGAACTATGGATATGTAGCAGTATGAACTATGATATCATATGTACGATATGTAGCAGTGGCGGATTTGGTATATCCTTCCGGTCCAAAAATTATACTCTTAACTAATATGACCAGACGTCGATCGGCCAATGTGACTCCTGGCCGCTTAATGCGATATCACAACTATCTACGGAGGCCGTGATTACAATTAACACTCTGGACTTTTATACATAATTCTGAGAGAAATTATTATTTATAGGTAATTTGGCACCTATGTCTCCCCCATAAACGCCGCGACTGATATGCAGGTGCATTGTTTATAAAATGTTTGAGACGACCTTTAATTAGGCGACGTACGGAATAAAAACACTGGATTATCTTGTCGTTCGCACGCGCGCGTCTATACAAATAACATATCGATATTATGTAGACATAATAGTACAGTATACAGATATTTTCGGACATTTTTTAAAAATTCGTTTCGCGTTTCAATTTTCGACGCTATAATATTTAATAGTTTTTAATATTGTATTTATGTGTGTCTTCACACACTCGAATATTCTTGAACTCGCACGATGTTTTCGAAACTTTGACCGCGTTGCTCTTTGTTTTCAAACATTGTATGCACACTTTTTTTTTTTTAAAGCCGCTAGAGACGTTTAATATTTATTTTTTTTTTGCCCCTGTGTCAAAATCCTCGAAAAGCTCGTCGGCATACCGAGAGGTTCGACTATAACAACACACATACACACACACACACACACACACACACACACACACACACACACACACACACGCACGGAAAAAGGGGACGATCGTTATTGGGGTTGGAAGCCACGCGCGTTCACACGCACATTTCGAGATCACTTTTAAGCTACGCGCATAACGGTCGGCGACGCGCAGGAATTACGAAATTCTCGATAAGCCTTTTATTTATCGGGCCGTTTCTGCAGCCGGTCGGTCCGTTTTTATTTTATTATTATTCGCCAGGAAGGGCAGGAGGAAAAGGATTGTAGGGGAGTGCTACAGCGGCAGTGGCGACGACGGCGGTGTTCTCTTCGTGTTTCGGCCGCGACCGTTCGTATTAATGCGCGCGCGGGATCGGACACGCGGCGGTAGGCGGACAGTGGCGGAGGTGTAGGTGGTATACTGCACACTTACTTAAGTAAGCGATTTGTATCAATTATGGTAATGGCGGTCAGGCCAGAGCTCTTGGAATAAACGGCGCGCGGCTTCCAATACATTAAACCCGCGTTTTAATCCGGCTCTCCAGCGGCGGCGGAGATGGAACGGGGGGTAATAACACAAAAAAAAAACGCTGCTGCTGCAAGAATATGCGGAAAGTCGAGAGTAAATCGCCCGTGCAGATTGCGGGCACGCGCATGCTTTTTTATGCACGATTTACCGATATTTACGGAGCAGAACGACGAAACCGGATCGGCCATATAATATACTGCGGTCGGCGACAGTTTACAAAACTAATTTAAGTACGACCAACCCTCGCACCGTTCACATTGTAAATTATGCGTGACTACGTGATTTTCACAAAAGGTACAAAAAAAATAAAAAAAAAAAAACTAAGCTCCAATAAAGCAATTTATAATTAAACATAATATTTAAACACTCTACACACACTAAAGGTCGTTTAATGTTTGCTTTTGATTTCTTCGAAATGTAGTTGGTTGTAGTTTGCAATATATATGTACCGCAAATACCATGATCATCGAGCCGACTATATCTTGTATCGCATTACTCGTTATTTCCGTTAACACGATATTCAATTCGAAAAATCGCCGTCCACACGATCAGCTTGCGACTTGTATGATCAAAACAGTCGACAGTACTTTAAACGTGTCTGGGAAACTGTCATATTATGAAGCCGATGATTCGCGTGGCCGATTCGGCTACACGCACTGTTTTTGTCGCGGGTCCTTTTTCGGGACGTGCGAGTGCTATTACCACAGACGTATTTCAGCGTTTAATTCACCAACACACGATAGCAATAACAGTGATAACACATATTATATCGTCACACGTAAGGAACAAGATTAGTATTGGAATTGTTCAGTTTTTATTGTGACGGACCGCGGCTAATAAATATAACGACCCGCGCGACGTTCCAAAATATTGTCGATATCGATCGGAAAATAATACGAACATTACGGTGGCTCGTAAATGTACAACGCGAGAAGAGATCAATTACAAATAATATTGTTACACATATGCTATACATATATTGTTTAGATATGCATACATGCACGAACGGAAAAAATTCGAAATTGATTATTTGTTACGCAATACGAGACTCGAGAGAGAAAAAAAAAAAAAAAACGAAAGTTTCCTAAGGGAACGATGATTTTATTGATTTCGCGTCAGATGTTTATAAATACAAGACCGGAATTTCGTTAAAATAAACACCGTATTATATTATCGCAAAGAAGATTGCGTCGTATTATAATATTTGAATATTTATTTTAATTTAAACATGTTTATTTTCGCATCGGATCTTTCAATTTACGCCGCGCGTGTATACTTACGTATAATAATATGATATTATTAAATATGAACGATATTTCGATTATACTTATGCACGCGTAAATATTACTCACTCGGTCTGTTGTATACTTTAATTTTTACGCACGAAATAATCGCTTTTCTTTTCTTCCCTTTTAGTATAATTATTTAAATCTCCGTTTCGAGTGGCGGCATTCGGAAATAGAGTTTTACAGCGTACCGCGTATATAGGTTATAATTTATTGTACGTATACGTATTATATCATTAACGAAAAGACAACAACAGAAACAATAGAACGATAAAATTATATATATTACGGACCTTTGTGTTCGCCTTTTCATTACTCGTTGTTATAAACCGAAAAGCTCAAGTGAATACTGCGCCGCGACTCCTTTCATCTTTCCAAGGTAGATTATTGTTATTAAACAATATTTAGTAGTTCCCAATCATAAACACAGTAGACTATCCGAACAATGTCGATTCAAAAGCTTGTTGTTATTATTATTATTATTATTATTATTATTATATAAACAACAATCGGTGTCTATACTCGAATCCGCCCTCGAAATTCCTAAGTCGGTATTTCATATATAAAGTATAATATTATTATTATTAAACTAACTTTCGGGGCAAAAATAGTTGCCCTCCCCCGTTTCCGTCGCGAATTTCCAACCCACATAAATTGATTATATTATTATTATAATAACGTTAAAATATCGATTTTACCATAATGGTTACGTTATTAAACACACAGTGCCTATTCGTTGTCAGCAATACTATTATAGTCCCAATCTGACGAAACTACGTAAGTACACATTACACACAATTATTCATCACAATTATCTCGATCAGCTTTGAATTTTTAACGTTCGAATTTTGATTTTTTTTTTTTTTTTTAATTCACGTTATCTTAAATAACGAATTAACGTATCATGTTACGTTTATTCAAATGGCTGTTGATTTTAAAAAGATATTAAATTTACAATTTAAACGATTTGTTTAATTAGCATTAAATAAATAATGATAGGTTTTGTTTCGATACGACGTTTGTTTTATTTTGTTTTGTTTTTTTTGTGGAATGGTTATATATTCACACATGAGTACTACATAGCACCTTGTGCTTTACATCGATTACCCTTATTTTATTATATTACAAAAAATTACAAACTATACTTACTAAAAATAAGTTTATGTGACCAAAAAAAAAAAAAAACACACATATTTGTCAAATAAAACAATTAACTTTTACTGAGTTATTATTATTGTTTATAACGAGCAATGTATCGGACTATTGTCCGAAAGATCATTTTCGTCTATCCACGTATCGTTTATCGTATATTATCGTATTTTTTTTAACGCGATTATCTTTTTCTCGAAATATTTTTTTTTATTTACCATGTGAATATCCGTTATAAATTTATTTACCCGATAATGTATGGAATTTTGATATTTAGCAAAATTATTACTTTCGTCTGTATAACATGTCCCATTCAAAATATTATTTGATAGAAGGTTATGTAGGTTTAAGTGGTTACAGTTAAATTTCCGATCTGGTTTCTTGGTACTATTTAGTTTATCAAAGAAAATTAAACATAGCGTCGTAAATTATTTGAGAAAAATAGTTAAAGTGAACGTATACAAGTATTTGAAAATTAAAATTTTAAGGTAATTTTATTATGATTAAATTCATACAGAAATTTAACCGATTGACGAACAATAATCGACGTCGTTTTGTAAGCCTTGCGCGTAATATAATATATATATATATTATTTGGGATTTGGGCTTAAACCGACGGAAATTAATTTTCCATTCGATTAAAATCGGCTAGTGAGGCTTATATTATGACTGGGTTAATTGAATTTCCAAATCAATGATTAATAATATTCGAAAATAAAAACAACGCGCGGTCGAATGTACTATACATATTTTATTAATTAATTAATGAATTAACGTTTTCATTATAGTTATTATAAACGAACCAAATTGTTACTTTTTTTCGTTTAGACTGCAAACAGATATTAAATGTCAATGTTGTTTTAATGCGAATCCCACTTATGTGGGAAAAAAAAGTTCGACATACGCATAGCTGAACACTGTTTAGGGTAAAAAAAAAAAACCGAACAGGGTAGTGTGGATATAGAACAATTACGTTTAGTTTACAACCTGAAAATAACGACAATAACTATTGAAATCAAAAGACGATTCGGTGCGTAGCTTGGTAAACTGACTATAGGTTAATGTATATTGGTCATGTTTTTCCCCTTGTATCCCGCCACGCACTGTAATCGACAACAATAAAACCTACGTATTATCATTTGTTGTCGGTTTGTTTAAGATTCGCTTGTATAAACTGTCAAGAATCTGGACAATTTTGTTCAAACAAAGTACCATCGAGAATAAAATCCATATTATTGAAAAAAAAACAAGGTATTTTTAATAACCGGAAAAAAAAAATTTATATTACATCTTAAAAGTGCGAGATTACCAGTAATTCGACTGTACAGTTGTTTCTCGCGATAAAAGAATACTCTGGCTGTAGAATTAATTGGGATATCAAATGTTCAATACATTAAAAAGGATTGCTTTCACTGTGCAACGTTCGTATTAATGTGTTCGGTATTGCAAATAGGAAAATGTACTATAATGTTCAAAAATCTGATAATTTTAGATTTTTTAAATTCTAATCACATATTTCGTGATTTTCCATAGGAAAAATTAAAACCAACTTTGAAGCCTTATGTTTTGTGGCGACAATTGTATTATTTCTTAACTATAATGGTCCATACAGCCCGAATTTTTGAGTTGATCAAACATCATATGTCCGAAAATAACACGTCTTCTTATACTATTTCACAATAATAGCTAATTTTTTTCGTTACACTTAGAGTGCATGGAAGAACACGTACATTTATAAGTAATTTACGGACCCTTATAAAGTTATAGCAGCACGACCATATTTAATATATCCGACAAATTTGTCGGCGACTTGTCATCCATTGTTGGATCGCTCCCCGAATTTGTTGAACATTATATTCCTATAATACTATACTCCGATACCACGACTTTATGCAAGCGAATATTTTCCCCAAATAAAAATTTTCGTTCCGGAACGCAACCAAATTTCACATTGCTGTTTTATACACGCCGAGTATAAGTACAAGCGTGTTCAAAACTCGTAATATCCGCCGAGTTTTACTGACGTTAAATTAAAATTAAAGGACGCCGTCGCATCTGCTCGACACGTCCAAAGTTCGCATCTAAGGAGAACAATGAATCCTAATCTACCTCGACTTTACAGTAAAAATGAACCTGTCAGAGGTCTCAGATATTATAATGATATATTATATACAAGTATGATACACGCGCGTATATATTGTAATCTAACGGCCTCTGGTGCAACGTTAATAATATTTTAATATTGCGATTCTTCTGTTTGTTATTATACAGAGTGCAGTGTATTATATTCCGAAACAAACAGATTTCAATGAAAGTATGTATATATATTATTATTATTATTATATAATACGGCGGGTACCGGGCAGGAAAAAAAAAACCAAGAGTCTGTATACCTGTATATTGTACGGGGCGCGTACAAATGAAAAAAAAAAATTATAATAATTATAATAATTAAAAAATGCGTTGAAATAAGTATTATGACGACGGGAAAAAAAAATAAATTTAAGTAAAATTATATACGTTAGAGAGGAACCGACACACAATAATAAGGTTTTTGTGAAACATTACGGATGCGAAATACGCGTTTAATTAAATTTCGTTACAAATGTATACAACAGTTTATATAATTTGCGTGCATAAATATAAATACACTTTTTTCTATAACGGTCCGGAATCGATCGAAAAATTAAATATAATAATGTTAATTATCATACACGTGAGTTTTCGATACGGTTACCGTGGTACGAGATGTTCTGTAGGATGTGAAATCGGCAAAATATGACGTGCCAATATTACGCGAAAAAAAAAACCGAACACAAACCGAAATTTCGAAAAATTATTTACAGTTGAAAATACATTAATTTATAATAAGATTTAATTTAGTTTTTAAATATTGATAGCATGACGACGCGAACACGAATATATTTTTTAGTCAATTTATTTTCTCAAGTGTCGTTTTTATTACTGTTAATACATATTATAATATTCTCTATACGCTGAACGCTCGATACAACCAATCCGGTTTTTTTTTTTGTAAAGAGAAAAATTTCTTTAACCGTTTGCGGATACTGTTGGCGTATGCCGCGTGTTTGTAAAATGATAAATAATTTCTAGATTCTATTCAGATTTTCCGGGAACATTGTTTAACGTTTTTAATACATTACACCGAATTCGTAATATTACTTTTTTACGCATTTTTTTTTTCTCGGAAATGCGATGCGAAATATATGCACGAAATAATTAAATAGCTACAGCAGTATTTGCATTTTATGTTGAAAATCGTCAAAATATGGAAAAAAAGAAAACGTGTACTTATTGACTTTAAGGACCATATCCTAAACGTAACGTGCATTAACTTAGTTTACTATAAAATAGAAGCCTAGAAGAAAATATTCAAATCCTGCAACTGCTCGGCCCTGCAAGTGCATGGTCCCTCCACGAACTTTAAGAACAGTTATAATTATAATATATTTCCAGTCTACTAAATAGATTTTAACGCGTTCTTATAGGTATAGTATACACATTACGTCTGACTAATTTTACGTCATAGAAATCGGGCCGTTGAATAGGATAGGATAATATAAATAATATATTCACAACCGAATACGTTATTATGTAAGTACAGAAACAAAAAACAGGGGGAAAAAATCAATTATATTATTCATAATAATCGCGTACCGAAACTCACACTGTCAGGGAAACGGGTACAGGTAACAAAAAAGGGATCTGTCAATAGGAAGAATAATAAAAACAAAAAAAAAACAAAAATATTCATAAAAACGAGCTACTGCCAGTTTTAATAATAACAATTGGCGGTACTATATAGTATTGCATAATATTTTTCAGCACTATTGTCACACAATACAATATGTCACATTACGACAGTGTTATTGCCACGTGACAGACAGTCGGGTATATTTTTTTTTTAAACATTAAATGAGTATTGCCCATATTCTTTTGTTTTTATCGTCCGAATTGTGCACGGTAGCTCGTTAAGATGAAAATAAGAGTAAAAAAAGGGTTGAAACTTTTTTAGAAGGGAATGGATTATAATTTATATTGAAAACTATCTTAAAATATCGGTAACTGAGTTTCAAACGGCATGATTGTTTTTGAAAGGGTTTAATTTTACACCGTGCAGTATCAACGTATCTCGGTATCGGATAATATGGTATTTTTTTAATTTATGTCGAGCATTATAATCAATAACTTGTGTTTAAATTTAAACAAATAGAAACAAGTCAACGTTGACGAAAAGAGTAATTTTTTGGTTTTCTATTTGACTAATTTGGAATTTTAGATACTTTGTGCTTGCGCGAAAGAAAAAATAGAATGTCACAGTGGAGTGGCCAGTGAGGATATGGAACTATAGCCTCCCACGCTATGGGTCGTATTTATATATGCATACTATTTTCCGATTTAAGTGTTAACTATACACTATTACAGTTATTTCTTCACTCCTGGAAGAAACTTTTCTTCACTGAAAACGTATTATTTATGGGACAGTACTTTGCCAGCGAATAGACTAAATGGGCCAGTATAAATAAAAAATAACACAAATGAAAATTATATAATTACTGGCCTTTACTCAAAATTGTTCTCGAAGGACAATAGGACAATTAGCTGTTAGAGGAATGTACAACGCATTACATATAGTTACCGCAAGACATTACAATACATAATATTATGCCTATATATTATGTTATACAATTATATTCTCATTTCATAATAAAGTTTTTTTTTTTTTTTTTTTATCAATTTTTGTTTAAATTATTGTTTTGAAATTCATATTAATGAAACCCTATTTTCTATATTTTTGTCAAGGTTGAATTCCCCAAACGTCTATACCTACGCCTATGATTAAATCAAAAACGTTCTTGGTCCCACCCCCCAGCACAAAATTCTGGCTACACCACTGAAATACAACACATATATGTTCTGAAAATTGAAACACGACATTCATTGAAGAACATTTTTAGTTTTAAGGAATCACCTCAACATTCTATAATGGTGATTTGTGCAAAAAAAAAAACGATTATGTGCCCTTGAAGGCATGTTATTGATAACACTGACGTATGAACCTATGATTGGAGGGAAGAGGGAGTTATATAATAAATAAAAACTATTTAAAATAATCCAAACATAAAACAATTTAATCTATTGTACGTTCTTATACAGCGTTTTCCTTGAGGTTATTTTTTAAAAGACGTAATCGTGTGATGGGTAATAAAATATTATATTTGTACTTAGTTGAGTTAGCCATTATACATTTGTATTTTATCACGACAGTGGCAAGCGGGGGAGGGAGGCTTGCTGAAGGGGACTAAGGATGATCTTCCCACTGCGTATACGCTGCTGCTTAATAATACCGTGTACTTTATGTGTAAAATTAATCAATAATACTCAATTTATTGTCTATGACAACGATTAGTTTATTCGGAGTATCAATATTATAAATACGAAAATAATATTCCAACGATTTTTCATAGTGTACAAATAATAATTGTTTTATCGGATTCTATAAAAACATGCAACAGTTATCCCGAGCGAACAACAAATTTAGGCACTATAAAATAAAGCCAATTTGATTCATAGCAATGTAGTATATTATAAATGGTAAATTATTTTGATTTTGAACATATATATATATATATATATATATTGACATGTTGTGTAACGAGCACATTATACTCATTTGCAAATAAACCAAATCGAAATATACGAGATTTTGTTTGATTAAAAAGCACCCAGAAAACACACCTCTTCTACTGGTAGTTATGAAAATTTTAAAGGTCGCGACAAAATGACAGGGTGTGGTGCAGAGTCGTACAGCCATCGTGTCACGGGCCACTCCTTTGCGTCGCAGTGTTAGCGGGTATACCTGCCTATAAAAAGGTGGCGACACAATGAATACGAAAATACAATTCTATATAAAATTATGAATTATGAGTATTGTATTTTATTCTAAACAATAATATTAATATTCGTTAAGACACGACACGGAGCTGGGTGATCGAAATGTTAAAGATAATTTCAACGACAAACAAATAATTTATAATACATATATAGATTATACGAAATTGTAAAACGGCCGAAATCATTATAAAAATCAAAAGTATATGGAAAAACTGTATTTTATAATATTAACAGTTTTATTTCGTCAGCTACTCATTCAATATCGTTTTATATCAATACAAACACAGTTGTATTATGGCATTTGTTTAATATTCGCAAACCAAACTCACGTAAAATTAAACAGAAACTGTTATAAACATTTAGGTATATAACCGACTGTGGATGTGGATTATATCTTTCTCGTAAGAATTATGAAGCCAGCATTCGTGTACAGTTCGGTGATCAAATATTGATCAGTAAATCATTGATCAACTGTTTTTTATCATTGATTATAACCCCGAGTGCTTTACGGCAGGATGTAAAACTGTCATGATTAATTAATTAGTGAATTGTACAATATTTCTGTACATTAAATGTTTAAAAAGTTGATACTAATTTCAGTATAAAACTAGTTTTTAAATAAGATTATCAATTATCACATATTATACTACGTCAAGTCAATCGTCGTGCTATATTTTTATTATCATTTGTCAGTTTTGTGGTGTTAGTATATTATAATAATAAACTCTGCGATGAAAGAATAAAAACTTACTGCCAATTTTACAGCTTTAGAAACGGATGTATTAATATCATTAGTGAAAAAATATAAAGACACCGGGGAATGTCTGAAGACAGATACAGTAAATGATGAGTATAGTAAAATAACACTCGAGTTCAAAACGGTCAAAACAATTTTGTTACTAAGTCACGGCATTGGAAATTTACAACAATGATAATAACACGAGATGATAACTCAAAAATTAACTTATCATTGTATAACCAACCTCGGGCGGTCGGTTAACTTAACGGACCTAAAATCAACGATTAATAAGTGAACGGGCAACATACAACATAACAAAGGTCTTAATAATTGATTATAGTCCGACTAACGTTTAAATGCACACCGTACAACTGACCCGAAGGGGACAGATTATGTTGACTAACCCATGATTATATGTTTATATCACGAATCATCGCGAAAAAAGAATGTAACTAATTTCAAATGCGTTTCATATGTCATATCATAATTCATGGCGTAAACGAATATTCTATGGATTTATCAATATATTTCGCCTTTTTTTGTAAATATGGAAGCTGAACTTCAGATTTATTTATATATAATATAATATTATATTATATGATCGCTATCTAGTCCGTGTTTTTATATATATTTGTATGTAAATACCCATCATATTTGCATTATTTAATAATAATAATGTACCGGAGAAAAGAATGTTTCGGAATTGAATTCGGGTCACCGGGGATCGTCCTGCAAATGCGCCTTCAAGTGGACCGACGAGATAAAATAGATTTTCTTTGATTCGCGGATAAGGAAGACAAATTAATTCCAAAGGTCGATCTTAGTATAATATTATACGGTCATATTTTATCCCGTAGCTACAAAAATATACATTTATCAAGACGTAATGTATTCACCGTACCTACCTCTCGCCACACTGTTTATCTGTCCCGGTGACAAAAATGCGAGTAAAAAAATAAATATATATATAAAAATAAAAGGAAGACAGAATCGATTTTTTTCGGCAAAAGGGGAAAAATAGGATTGCAAACATTAACGTTGGACGAGAAAATAATGTACTCACGTATTATAAGGATACGTCCCCACGTCCCCCAAGCACTTAAATCGATTGAAAGAGAATGTTTACCTGAAACAAAAAAAAAAAAAAAAAATGAAACATTTATATCAAAATCATGAATATAATATTATATATTCTATATTTAGGGGAGATTTTTCTTTGAATCAATAAAATAAATTATATCTATAGATAGTATATACTTGTATAATATACATTATGCTGAAAATATCGTGGAACGCTAAATAAAAAAAAAAAAAACTACTTATTTTTTTTAAACAATAAACTTCTGATACAATATATTATACTTAAACATCATCTAATGTACTATTATTATAAATATTTTTATTCGCCGATTTTTATTATACTTGTCGGTTTCATTCAATGAAATAACACGCGTATCCATGTAGTTTTCATCGCGTTTTACCATCATTTTTGATTTGTTTCTTCGAAATGTGTGCAAAAAAAAAAAAACTAACGCCAATACGGAATGGTGTATATACATGTTTATATCTTAATGTATAAAACATTTAAAAAAAATAAAAAAAATAAAAAATAATAGAAATACGGGATATTTTCTCCTCATTCGCACTATAACTTCGTCATATCTTTTTCTCGCACAATTCAATCTACTTATTTGATTCGAGATAACGTTTCCACTCGCCCTATATTGCGGTTGACGCACGTTTGAAACGAAAGAGGGCCGTTCCGATTAAATGTTCGTCTCGTTTCGCCATCACTGCTGCTGCAGCGTTTATACTCGACGTGTCATTTCCCTTTTCGGTTCGCTTTTAACGTGGAACGACCAACGAAAAAATTGAAAAACGTATCCTATATATAGCTGGGGTAAACCCGCACGGGAAAAACTCCCCTGTCCGTGACAGGTCCTCGGAGAATGTGACTTTCCGGACTTGACCTCTCCCGCTACAGTAGTCGCAGGGAAAAACATTCTGTCGAGTGACCGATGAGTTCTGTTTTTGGTACAAAAAATGAAAAAAAAAAAATAAATACGATCTCGAGTATTTTATTTTTGTTTTTAAAAATTTAAAAAATGAAACAACGGAGTATACGAACGAATGAATAAACTTCAGTTTGCTCGCACAGTCGGAAAATATAATAAGGGTATATAGTGTAAAAATATAAGTGTATAGAGTACCTGCAAGCACAATATATGGTGGGAATAACTACACTATTATAATAATTATACACCACTCTCCTGTAATTTTAATTGCATTTTAAATTCGTATACACAATAGTCTTTCGTAAATTAATATCTAGTCGAGTAAGTACGAATAGTACATGATATGAGGATATGTGTGTATATTTATATATATGTATGTACACATATATGTGGCCTGTTTAAAAAGCCATTTTTTTTACCTTATTACTATAATTTACTTAAACAAAAAAAAAAAAATAATAATAAAAATAAAAAATGTATTTATAATTGAAATGTTTGGTACATTTTGTCGATTGTACCCGATAATAATATAGCTCATGATTTTTTTATAATCAAATAATAAAAAAATAAAAACAATTGCAAGCGTTAAAAACAGTTAGTTTTTCTAAAATTATTTTATTGTTAAATCAGTTTTGTATTTTAGTATTGAACAATTTAAAATCGACCGGAACGTCGCTAGATTATACGTACAATATACAATAATAAAATATTAAATCACAATAATATAATGAAACAAATAATTTTTTAGAAGTAATTATTAATTCATTTTACTTATAAAAATAAAAAATTAAATCCCTCAAATTCCAGAAATTTTACATTTAAATTAATTTGTTTTTTTATTATCAGTTTGATAGTTTAAAATAATATTTAAAACAAAACACGCTTAACACGCGCATAAAATGTATTTGTATAGTGGTCATAACAATAAGTTTACAGAATTATTGTTCAATTATTTATACGATTTCTGTGTTATGTTTTTTTCGATTCTAAACTGAGCTCGGAATGCATTTGTTTTACAATGGTGTTGGTTTTTATTTTACTTAGTAATTTTTCTACCAGAAAACTTCTACTTTAGTGAGGTCATTTTTTTGAAATTCTCATTAATATTCGAGATAACGAGGAAAACCTGGTTCTTTAGGTTAAACAAAATTGAAAGATTAAAAATAAGGTTGTCATTGGCGGCCGTTTTTATTATTTTAATCTTTTTAAATTACCATTATTGTCATGGAAACGCACATTATTGTAAACATTTTACCATAATATGACATATTATAAATATATAATTTGTTGACAAAGCAACACTATAAACTGAACCGCTCAGAATCGTTTTTTCGTTAGCAATGGTTTATCGTTGCTTACAGAAATAAATTAAATTTCCGTCTGAATCCTACCTTTTCAGCTCCCCACCTACAACAATGGCTACACTACGTGCGAAGTATATCCGTCCTTTTTTTTTTTTTTTTTTTGACAAACTAATGCCAATACGAAAATAAATGTATTACATTAAAAACAATAAATAACAACCCAGTCTTTAAATAATTTCGTAATGGTATATTGCGAATAATTAAAAGTTGTTAGAGAAAAAATAAACGTCATCAATAACGAATAAACGTGTACCTACACTGTACAGTAATTATACCCAGTTGGCGAGGGGAAACGCCGCGTAAAAGATTTTAAAATAGAATGTTAAAAATGAACTTCTAAGTAGCTTTTTTTTTAATGTATAAAATCATTTTTCTGGAATTCGCGCTTTAATTATGCCTTGCACACCGTCGACGTCAAGGCTAAGTTTGATAGTAGGAAAGCTATTTACGAATCATTAAGAACATCTGCTTTTTCAAAAATGTTCCATTTTTTTATAGTTTGTTCACCAATTTGATTTTTTTTTTTTTAGGTTAATTCATTCGAGCTTTTAATTGCTACCTCTGTCACACGAGAATATAGAGGAATTTAATTGCGCACCAGATTCACTGGACCGTTTTTATACTGCACAACAAGGGAATATAATCGTAAAAAAAAAAAGTAATTGCTATGCCAAATTTTTTATATAAAAGCTCTGAGGGCTGTACGAAACGTTTCACTTCAATTAGTAAGATTCGAGTCAAAACGGTTACGAGTTGAACAAATTCATACACCCTAGGTTTTTAAACGATAAAAAACACAACCGTCAGTGTTAAATTATAATACACGAAATTCTACATTTTTCCTATTTTCCTGTGGTTAAAATAAAGGAGTTTCTAATTAGGTAAGTACTCTTGTAAAATATACGACGTCTTATTAAAATCGACCCCTGTTATTTTCTTCTTAAGAATTCACTCCCATAATACAGAGTATGGCGAAACTCCTTATTTTCAGTAGGCATTATGGCATTGTTCAGATATCAAATGTCGTAGTATGATGGGGACTGTATCTATTCATGTGGTTTTTAAACCACCTAAACGGCCCATTTGAAAATATGCAACACACTTCGGCCCTCTGATCGCTCTGTAAAGAAAATTCTCCGAAAATACATTGAATTGTATCCATACGATATGATGATTGTCCAAGAGTTATCATACCGTCGTACTGGCATAGTCGAGTGTATTATGTCGAGTTACATGTGAAGAAATGATTGAAACTTTACCAAATTCCGTGATGGGTTTCTTCAATAACAAGGCACATTTTTGTCATTTTGACCGTGCAAATAATCAAAAATTTGATACTCGAGTAAAAACAATCCAGAGGCAAAAACACATTTTAAATGTTAAACAGAATACGAAACGCGCGGTGCAGGGCGGCTATATACAACTGTTTTTACAAAAATTGGTTTCCGGATGATTTCTTGTACTAAGAAAATTACAAATTAACAAATGTGATAAATAGAGTGCCTGAAAGAAAAACCATAATGAAAGTTTTGTTAAGAAGGCGAAATAAGTGAAACGATGGGATTAAACATATAGTGTTGCAGCGTTAAAATGAATGACGGACATAACGTATAGGCTGGAATAAATAAAACTGATCACGAAGGATCAAAGATGATGCGATTCGCGTTTACTATATTGACAAAGAAAACGGTCGAAAGGAACGGATAGAGTATGTTGCAAACTAATCTGGGAATTGATAACAAGAAAAGGGCACAACTTAAAAGGGGTGGTTATTGGGTTATGTTGTTATGACATAACGAACAAGTTGAGAAATAAATTGGTTTACTCATAAATTCGCAACGTCACATACTATACATATATAGGTTCCAAAGACCCTTACTATAGTACTTGTTGGTTTATATTAGTGATAAACGCTCAACAATAATAAATAGACCACACCCAGACGTTGACTGCATCGTCCCGGCG